CACGTTATCAACAACAACAACCACAACAATCTTTTCATCTTTTAAATTTTCTTTTATTTTCACGAAAAAGAAAATTTACGAATTTTCTTTTTTTTTTTACGTCGTTTAAAAAAAAGGATTCTGGAGAAATGCGCTTCCTGGATAATTATTTTGGACAATTTATATAATAAAATTTTCATTTGCGACGTACGTTTTTGAATTTAATTTTTTTTTTTTTTTTTTTGGCCGGTTTTTCACAATTACGTTAATTTTCGTTCTTTTGTCGTTTGTTTTAAGTTAAAAATAATCGATTTAATTTTTCCAGAGTTTTCCAGAGTTGACATGACATGCAACCGTCGTCGCAAAAAAAAAAGGAAAAGTTTTTTTTACCTTTTTAACTTTTCCTTTTTTTTGCATGTGTTAAATGTATTTTTAATTTTTTTGCGTATGTTTTTATTTCTTTCTTAAAATTTTACTCTCGTCCTTTTTTTTTTTGAGGGGGGAGGGAGGGAGAAGGAGAATTTAACTTTAGGAGTTTAATTTTTTTTTGCATAAAATTTGACAGGAAGTTACAAAAAAAAAAAAAAATGTTTAAAACGTGGCGGTAGAAAAATAAATAATTTTAGTCGATTTAAATTTTTTAAATTTCCCGCGCGATTTTTTTTTTTTGTGCCAAAGGATAAAAGGAATTTTTTAGAAAAAACATATTCCGGGTGCCAGATAACCTTTGGAATTTCTTTTCTCGGAAGATAAACGAAACCATTTTTTTCCTTTTTTTTCTTTTTTCCTTTTTTTCATTTTCAGCAAAAATATCCGGTGCGTGCCTGTTTGCTTGCTTGCTTGCTTGCCAATGAGTATTAATAATACGAATGCGGGATTTTAAAAAAAAATGAAGTGACCGACCGAGTTGAATTATCATAATTTATGTTTTAAATTTGAAACTGGAACTGGAACTGGAAAAAAAAACTGGACTCCAAGTTTTATCCAGAAGTTTTAAATGTTCTGTAAAGAAAAAAAAAAATTAATTTTGATATCGATTTAAAAAAATAATTGTAATTTTTTTTTTCTTTTGGGTTATTCAAAAAAGGCACAAAATGTTGTTGTTTTAATTATTATTATTATTATTATCGTTTATCAGAATGGAAATGAGTCGGTGAAAAGACAAAAAGAATAAATGAATGAATGAACGAACGAACCAAACGAACAATACGAGAATATGAATGAAAATGAAATTTTTTGGCTTCTCGATTTTATTCAGTTAAATATAAAATTATAAAAAGGTTCATTGTGCTCGTGCATAAGATATACAAGGTGTCGTCAATTAAGAATTAGGTCGAGTAAATAAAAACGTATTTTCCAGATTTTCGTTTCGTTTCGTTTTTTTTTTTTTTTTCTCTCACCGTGAATATTCGATTTTGGAAATTTTTTTTTTTTTTATATTCTCTTTTTTAGAATTTTCTAGAATCTCGAACAAAAAAATTAAAAGTAAATTTTCCTTCTGATATTTAGCAGACAAAATTTTATTGAGAGTTTAAATCTCTTTTTAAAAACTTTTCTTTTTCGTTGTAATAAATCAAAAAAAAATTTTTTTTTTTTTATATAAATTGATTTTAAATATTTAGTACGAGTTTATATTTTAAACAATAACAAAAAAAAACAAAGCTGGAAAATTCCAGTCGAAGAGCTTTTTAACTTTTCTGGAAGCTTTTAAAAAAAAATCTCCAAAAAGGGGAAATAAGTTTTTTTTTTTTTAAAAACGATATACCTGATGCGACCGTCCTTTTATACTATTCCTTTTACTTTAATTTTTTTTACTGGAAAAGAAAAGTTTAATTCCAGTTTCCTTGCTTTTTTCTAAATTAAAAATTTTCAATTACAAAAAAAACAGAAAAAAAAAAACAAAACAGGAAAATCTGGAACTTTTATCCGTAATTTTTTTTAACGACAACGACAACGGGTATTTAACAAAAGTGAATGAATGAATGAATGAATGGATGAAAAGGATTTTTAATCGTGATTTTCTTTTTTAAATTAAAAAAAAAAAGTCTGGAGAAAAAAGAATCCTATTTTTTTTTGATGTGTGTGTTCCCGAAAGGAAAAGAGGAAGGATGAAAAAAACGTTTTGCAAATATAAATAAAAATTTTATCATTTTCTCTCTTTTCCCCTTCTTCCTCTATTTCCCTTCTTCCCCCTCTCTCCCCTCATATTTCTATTTCTTTTCCTTTTTATAGCGCTATAACTTTATATATATATATCTTTATATATATATATATATATATATATATAGCTCTATATTATTCGGTTTCGTGTGTGTAGTTTTTTAATGATATATAATTTTAATAAAAAATTTTCTTCCTCTTCTTCTTACGTATAAATATTTCATGGAATTATCGCGTTTGAATGTTTTGCGTTTCCGCAAAAGTGTAAACTTGAACCCTTTTTTTTTTTTTTTTATTAACAATTCCCCCCTCCCCCCGTAAAATTTATTTTTATTTACCTTAGTAATAATAATAATAATAATAAATTTATATTGTTTCAAAAGAAAATTAAAGTTTTGCAATCGTATATATAAATAAATAAATAAATAAGTTTCGATAGTTGTGTAAAAATTTTAAAGTTCAAAAAGGAAAGAGTGAGCGAGTACGTGTGAAGATCAAATTCTGTGGAATTAAATTTTCCTTACGTGTAATTATCATTATTATTATTATCATTATCATCATCATCATAATCATAATCATAATCATTATTATTATTATTATTATTATTATTATTATTATTATTATTATTATTATTATTATTTTGGGATTTTTTTCTCTTTTAAAGGAAAATTTTTTTTGTGAAATTCGGACGTTTAAATTTAAATTTAAAATGTGGAATTTATTTGCTTGTGAAAAAAAGATTTTTTTTTGGGGGGGAAAGGGATAGGGGGAATAATAGGGGAGGGGGAAGAGGAGAGAGAGGCAAAGAAAATTTTAAAAAAAATTTTTTTTTTTCCTCAAGGTTTTGTTTACATATTTTTTTTTTTACTACGAAAACCCCGAGGAAATTTTTAAAATATTTTTTATTTTTTTATGAAGAATTGAAAAGGGAGGGGAGAGGGGGGGAAAAGGAAAATTTCATCGATTTTCCCTTATTGTTTTATTTAAATATTTAATAAGGATAAAAAAGGATAAAAAAAATTTTTTTTTTTTTCGTTATCAAATCTGGAGAAAAAAAATTTTTTTTTTTTTTTTTATAATATTTTTTTTTGGAATCGGTTTTACGTAATTTGAAAATAATTTTCTCTCTCTCTCTCTCTTTTTTTTTCTCTCTATCTTACTTTAATAATGATTTCAAGAGTGCAGAGATCTTATTAACAAACTAATAATTTATTTATTAAAAAATGTTAATAATTAATAAGTTTTTTTTTAATTACTTTTTCGCGGTAACTTTCACCTTCGCTCGAAATTTAATTCTATTAATTGATTTTTTATTTTTTTTTTTCCTCGTGAATGAGCGTCGATGGTGGTGGTGGTGGTGATGCGGTTAGGGGTGACGCTGTTAGTGGTGGTGAGGGTGTCGCTGTTAGGGGTGATGCTGTTAGTGGTGGTGAGAGTGTCGCTGTTAGGGATGATGCTGTTAGTGGTGGTGGTGGTGATACTGCTGCTGGTAGTGGTGTTATTAGTGGTGATGGTCGCGGCAGTGGTGTTGTTAGTAGTGTTGTCAGTGGTGGTAGTAATGCTGATAGTGATGCTGTTAGTAGTGCTGTTAATGGTGGTGATGGCGATGATGGCGTTCCTTAAAAAAAAAAAAAAATAAAAATCTTTAAAGAACTTTTTTCTCAAATCCCAAACGACAAACGTTCTCACCTTAATCCTTTTATTATTATCATTATCATTATTATTATTATTTTAATAAATTAAATCCGTAAGGTAAATATAGGAAATTTTTAGGCGTGTTAACGTCGTTGAGGGAAGAACATATATCGTTTGTCATTTATTCCGCGACCGGAAATAATAAATTATCACATATGTTTATTTATGAATGAATCGTTGTTATTATCATTATTATTATTTTTTTTTTTTTCGTTTTTTAATCTTTTCGACTAGAATTACCCGGGTAATAATAAATTACGAGTAGTAATTAAATATCATTAACGAACGAAAATAAATAATAATGATAATATAAAAGTTTTAAAAAAATGATTTATGTTTATGTAATGTTAGAATCGATAATAAAACAAAAAATAAATAAATGATTTTTAGAATTTTATCCGAAAAATCGCGATAATGGTGGCAAATACCATTAACGGATTAATTTAAAACGCGCTTATATTATTATCATTATTATTATTTTTTATAGTTTTCAAAAAAGAAGTATAGGAGAATGTATTTAGGATGGAAGATTCGGCTTTAAAATTTTTTTTATTTATTTTACTTTACAAGTATGCGAAAGTTTATATTTTATTTTATTGATAATTTTTTATCGGGAACGACGCCTCTCCCCTTCCCGCTCCCCTCCATTTTTCGGGTTTTATCTCTTATCAAAAATTTTCCGAGTTGTCGTAAATAAAAACCTTTGAAATTTTGCCATTAGTTTTTACATGTAAGAAAAACCGTTAAGAATTTTAATTAAGAAAGAGGAAAAAAAATTAAATTTAAATTAAGTTTAAAAGTTTTTTTTTTTTTTTTTTTTTTTTTTGGTTTTAACTGGAACGAATAAATTTTTACTATTTCAACAAATAAATAAATAAATAAATAAATAAAATTATTATTATTATTATTATCATTAATATAAATCCGCTGGAGAATTTTAAAAAACGAGTAAAAAATTTTTTTTTTTTCTTCATTTGACAAAATCGTAAAATTTATTATAAAGTTTTCCCTTTAAAAAAAATTATTTATTAATTTTACGTAATCATAAAAAAATAATAATAATAATAATAAAAACTCTGGAAAAAAAAAACTGGAGAATTTTATTTCGTTATATTCGGTTTGATGAATATGTAATGATGATAATATAATTTTTTCCCTTTTTTTTTATGTTTTCAGCGGATGCTTTCTATTTTCCAGCTGCTATGCTTAATATAACATTGCCGAATGTAAAAAAATTATCCAGTCCGATTCCAGCACTCATGGAATTAAGGATAATAAAAGATTTTAATTATAATAATTTAAATAATAATCATAATAATAATGTTACGTTGACGATTTCAATCGATTCGAATCCTCCTGGAATTTTTATACTCGACGAAGGGAAAAAATTAAAATTAAATGAGGATTTGATACGTGGAGATTATTCAGGTACGGCAAATTTTTTTTTTTTGGGGGGGGGGGAAATTTCAAATTTTCTCCAGACAGTTTTCATCAAATGGGAAAATTTCGAATATTTTTTATATTTAAAATTTTTTGTCCAGGGGTATCGAAACGTCAAACGATAACGATAAGGGGTACATCGAAATATGAGGAAGCGACAAACACGACAATCAATATATTATTGACGTCGGATAAATTAAATTGTCGAAAATATAAGAAAAATATTTGTTTTTGGAACGGTGCCGTATTCAGGATGAAAAAGAAAAATTCAAATCCTATCAATTTGGGGCCCTTGTCATCTGAATTTTACAGGGATTTGTGTCCGGATTATTACGTCACTTCGTACAAAGTCGTAAAAGGTAAGAGAGAGAAAAAAAAAAAAATTTCATTTTCCATTTTCCATTTTTTTTTATTATTTAAATTTAATTAACATCGATAATAATTTTATGTGCGACGAACGTATACGACGAATGTATACAAACGATAAAGTTGAAACGTTAAAAAAAAAAATTTTTTTCTCCAGGAGCTGGAGAAAGAAAAAATAATAATAATAAAAAAAGAAAACCTTTTTGTTTTTTGTTAAAAAATTACTTTTCTTTCTTTTTTTTTTATTGTTTGTTTCGACAGACAGACGGTAAGTTGTATTAAAAAAAAAAAACATACGGAGAGGATATTTCGTTTGTTTGTTTGTTTTTTGTACATGTACAAAAAATAAATTATTAATTAAAGCGTGATGACGTCACAATCGTAATAAGAAAAAAATTTTTTTTTTTGTTTTGCAAAAGTTTTTTTTTTTTTACGAATCAGAATGGATGATTGAATGAATGAATGAATGAATGAATGAATTTTATTAACGAGGGGATGGTGGGGAGGGAGGGGAGGGAAGGGGGAAATTTAATAAGTAATTATTATTATTATTTAAAAATTATTAAAAAATTAATTTTTTAATTTATTGATTAATCGTTCGAGTTAATTTATTATTTTTATTATTAATTTAAAAAATTGAAAGTTTTTGCTTATCCCCTTTCTCTCTCTCTCTCTCTTTCTTCCTCTCTCTCTCTCTCTCTCTCTGTCTTCCTCCCTCCCTTTTTTTTTTTAGTAAATTTCTCGCTAATTTTTTTGCCCTAAAGTGTTTTTTTTTGGGTGGGGGGGTAATAACGAAGAAAAAAAAGTGAATAATGAAAACAAGTTTTTTTTTTTTTTTTTCTCGTTGCCGAGGGAAAACTTTTCTTTTTTCTCTCTCTTCTCTCTCTCTCTAACTTGAAGGAATAATTATTATCATTATTATTATTATTATTATTATTATTAATATTTAAATTTCATAACTTAAATCGGTCGTTAAGAAAGTTGGTATTTTATCGATTTTTTTTTTTTTTTTTTTTTTACGTTTAGGAAAAGTTTTAAAAAAAAAATGGGGGGGGAGGGGGGTTAATTCAATGAATATAAAATAAAGATATTAGCCTTTTAAAAAAGTCTCTCTCTCTCTCTCTTTCTCTTTTTCCCCCTTCTGTCTGTCTTTCTCCCTCATCCTTTTATATCCCACATTGTTTTCGTGTTATTTAATTGTCCTCGGGATAATCCATTGTGGTGATTTTTTTTTTTTTTTTTTTTTTTTTTAAATTCCACGCAACACCTGAGCCGTACCGATTAATTTGCTTAACGAAAAGACAAAAAAATTCCAGTGGAAAATTTGGAAAATTTCAGAGAAAAAATAAAATTTACAATCGATACTTTATCGATTTTTTTTTTAACCCACGGTTATCCCGAAAATTTAAAGCTTAACGATATTCATTTGAAATTTCCTTATTTTTTATTTATAATTTTCACTTATCGTTTGTTATCATCGTACGGATAAGTAGCCGACGACAAAAATTATTATTTTTCCGAGTAAATTAATATTTACATATTATAGTTTTTTTTTTTTTTTTTTTTTTCGTAAATGACTAAATGAAAAATTAACCGAATCATTTTTTTTCAACGCAATCATTATTATTATTTTACTGGTGACGACAACGAAATTTAAAAAAAAAAAAAAAAAAACCGCGAAAATTCAATTTTTAAATATTTAAAAAAAAAAAAAAAAAAAAACACGTTAAAGGCGTGGACATACGATAAACCAAGTAAATAATTTTTTTTTTTTTTTTTAATTTAAAGGAAACGGAAGGTAGATTTATCAGGGGGGGGGTAGGGGTGGTGGTGATGGGGGTCGTGATAAAGGTGGTGACGGTGAAAAATTCCGAGAATATTTCACTTAAATAAATATATAAATATATATAATATCCGTATAAAAGCATCACTTACAGAATTTATTAATAATAATAATTACTTATTAACTTTTAACAATAGTAATAATAATAATAATAATAATAATAATAATAATGATAATGATAAAATGGTTTGTTATTGACGTATAAATCGATTAATAATAATTTTTTATTAATCATTTATTATTAATTGATTTATATATTTAAAAAAAAAAAATAATTAAAAATTTAAATTTTTTTTTTTTTTTTTTTTTTTTTTTACGATTGACGTCACATTTATTTATTTATTTAATTTGAAATATAAAATTGTGTTGGATGTTGTTATTACCACGTAAAAAATTATCGATTTTTTTTTTTTTGCGGGGGAGGAGGGGGGGTTAATTTATGATGACGTGGTAATAAAAACGAGTCGTCGTTTTGAATAAACATCAATCAAATTTTACTGTCATGTTATAAAAAAAAAAAAAGGTAAATTATTATTATTATTATTATTATTTTTCGTTGCCTTTTCTTGAAGTCATTATCATAAACGTAAATATATATATATATACATCTCTTAAAGTCAGAGTCACGATTACCAACGAAACAAAACTGAAAAAGTAAAAAAAGTGAAGAAGAAAAGAAAAATGGATGATAAATTTATTATTATTATTATTATTATTATTATTATTATTATTATTATTATTTTCTAACCGCCGTTTTGTAAATTTTTTTTTTTTTTTTTTCATTTGAAACCAAAAGAAAATTATTATTATTATATTCACGAAGAGAGAAAGAGAGAGAGAGTTAAGGAAAAGGAAAAAAAAATTAAATTAAATTAATTACAGAGTTGAATTATTATTATTATTATTATTAATATTATTATTATCATTTTTAACGTGAGAAATAGGGAAATTATTTTTAATTGTATTCTTTCGTTTTTATTTTTGTAAAAAATGGAGGGGAATGGGGGGGGAAATGAGGGAAAACGGAAGTTTCTTTTTTTTCTGGAATATTGTTGATATCCCAACAGGAATTTTAGTAAAAAATTTTTTATCGATTTTCGCGTTCGATGACGTAAAAAAAAAAAAAAATTATAGGTTCAGGTGCATGCGAATAATAATAATAATAATAATAATAATTTATAAATTTTATTTTGACGTCATCAAACAAATTTTCCTTTTTTTTTTTCTTTTTTTTATTTTTTCAATTAAATTTTTTTGGGTTTTTAAAATGGCGACTGTACTATATATATATTTTTTTTGATTAATTATTTTCTTGTTAAGGGTTGTGTGAAAAATTAAGGGTTTAAATTAAATTAAAAGTTTCCTTATTATTATTATTATTATTATTATTAGCGAAAGAAAAAAAAATGGTAACGTCGCGTATCGATTTACGTTTACATGAAGTAAGGAAAAATCGAAGGAAAAACATTTTGTTAACGTTAATACTACTAAATTATTTTAATTAGGTGGAAAATGACGTGGAAGAAGAAAAAGAAGAAAGAGGACATTTTTACACGTCACTTTTTTAACAACTCCCAAAAATCGAATTTAATTTATAATAAATAAATTTGTTGTCATTTTTGCACTTTTATTTTCTCGTGGTTTAAATTTTAAAAAATTTTATTAATAATAAATAATAATAAAATAAAAAATGGCGCCGGCGTTAAATAATAAAAATTATTTATTTTCAGGTGAAGAATATTTAGAAACGAAAAAAATTAATTATGGTGATGGCGATGGTGACGGCGATGTTAGCGGTTGGTCATTGTTAACGAAAAAAGGTTTGGAAAATGTAAACGAACCGGAAATTCGATTTATCGTAAATTGTTCGATAAATATTAGCAATAATAATAATAATAATAATAACAACAATAACGACGGCGAGGAGAAGGGAATTGAAAATTATTTAAAAGAATTTAAATTGAAAATAATTAAAAGGAAAAAATTTGAAATATTTTTCGACATGGAAAACGACGACAACGACGACAACGACGAGGGTTTCGAATCTTCTTACTCGGACGTTCCATATCCGGTGAGTTTTATACAAAAAAAATTTTTTTCTTTGTGACGTCACAAAAAAAATAAATTTTCTTCTCTCTCTCTCTCTCGAAAAAAAAGGAAACGAATGAGAAAAAAAAAAAGAAAAAATTAAAATGATAATTTTATTTTAAAAAAAAAAAACGCTTTTGCCAGATGACGAAATTCGGTTTCCCGAAAAAAAAAATGCGGGGGAGGAGGGGCTAAAGAGGGGGAAGGGGAGTGGCGAAAGGGGAAGGAGAAGGAGGGGAGGGGAAAGAGTGACAAAATGAAATTTTCTACAAAAAAAAAAAAAAAAAAAGTTAAAAACGCGATAAATTTTTAAACGACCCGTTAAAATAACACGCGTATAAATAAATAAATAAATAAAAATTTAATTTTTCCGTAATTTTTCAATTTACGTCCGCCATTTTGTTTTTTTGCCGTCGATGTTTTTCTTTTTTTTTTTTTTTTCCTCGTCTGGAATTTATATTCCGCGTATGGAAAAAGGAAAAAATTTGTAAAATAATAATAATAAATTTATCTTTCAAAATCATAAAAATTTCTTTTGATAAAAAGGAAAGAAAGAAAGAGAGAGAGAGAGAGAGACGGAATCTTATTATTATTTCATTCGCGTAATTTTTTTATCATTCCACCATGATGATGATGATGATGATGATAATTTACAAAGGGGTTTATAAAACCTTAAAAAAAAAAAAAAATTTAATTAATTGTTAATTTGTAAACATGTTTTTCTATTCGTTTCACTCCCCCCCCTTCCCGCTTTTGTCGTCTACACAAATGTTTTCATTATAAACAAACGTTTGTCTCTGGTAATAATAATAATAACGTAATCTTATTTTTAAAACAAACAAACAATCGAATGGAATGATCTGGAATTTTAAAATTACGACGACGATGACGATGACGTCATTAATACCTTTTGACAATATGGCGTAAAAACATAACCTCGACACACACACACGCGCACAAAAAAAAAATTTTTTTATTATTAACAAAATTATTATTATTTTTTTTTTCGTCACTTTAAGTTGGCAATCGTGAAAATAAAATTTAAATGTTTACAATACAATACAAAACAAAAAAAAAAAATTTTTTTTTTTTTGTTATTGTGACAAAGAAAATTCATTCGAGTGTAAATTAATGTAGAAATTAAAAAATATCGTTTTGTTTTAAAATTGATTTCAACAAACAAACAAAAACAAACAAAAAAAAAGAAACAGGTTGACACACACACGCACAAACCCACTCTCAAAGGTTGTTTATCACATTTCAAAATGGCTGACTTGACGTGGGGGAGAGGGAGAGGTTGGGAGGGGGAAAAAGCAAAAACAAAAAAAAACGAAAAAATCCGATGGTTGGGTTTACACTTACCAGATTACTTAATTTCATTTATTCGTTATTATTATTATTATTATTATTATTATTATTATTATTATTATTATTATCCACCATTAAACACGACAAGGCTACTTGTCGGAGTTTTTTAAGTATTTATCCGAGGTTTCTACCCGATTCCTTAGGGACAAATACTCGAATTTCGGTGGTGCCACTTATTATAAGATAGCACCACATCAATTCTTGAAGGTCTTCCTGAGTCCGTCTTATTCGATGGGAACGATTTGTCTCCTGAACTGGGCTCCGGTGACTAACATCTTTGGAGTGGCCAGGGTCAGAAGCAGTGAAATTCACATTCTCGTCGAGCTGCCTCAGGTCGACCGTAGAACAAGATTTTGTTTTTGGTTCTTACTTTGTCTTGTTCTCATTTTTTTTTTTTTTTTTTGCTCTTTTTTTTTTTAAACCAACAGCACGTGGCGTTCTCAAACGGTCACCCATCCAAGTTTGCACCACGCCCGATGCTGCTTAACTTCGGTGATCGTACGGGAACCGGTGTGACCAGCACGCTATGGCCGTTGGCTTTTATTATTATTATTATTATTATTATTATTATTATTATTATTATTATCTACGACGGAAAAGTTTTTTTGTGTGTATGCGTGCGTGTGCGTGTGCGTGCGTATACATTTATATAAAAAAAAATGTTATCATTATTATCATTATTATGTTATCAATTTAAATGAAAAATTCTTTCCATAAAACTTTATTAAAAGAAAAAAAATTTTTTTTTTCGTTATTATGACGAATTTTATTATTATTATTATTATTATTATTATTATCACCATCATCATTATTATTAAATAAAACGTACGAAGAATGCGTTGTATCACATAATATGTATATATATATTTTTTTTTTATTTCTTCATTTGCGTACGTTAAAATATTTAAACGCGTTTTTTTTTTTTAATATTGAAAAGAATTTTTTACGTAAAATTTCTTATGTTTTGTGTGTGCTGCGTGTGCGTGTGCGTATGCGTCAAAATGGCGGACGACCGACGGAACTATTAAATTAAATTAATAATTAAAATAATTTGAATAATATTTTAATTATTTAAATTATTATTACGTAGTATATATTATACGTGTGCGCGTGTAAATTCCAAACACACAAAATTTTTTTTTTTTTCATTTTGAAAAATAATACAATTATCGCCGCCATTTTTTTTTCTTCTGCTTCTTCTTCTTCGTTTTCCACCGCCTTTCCTTAAAAAAAAAAAATCTATTTTTAAAAAAACTCTCGAAAAATCGATTATCGATTTTTATTTTTTTTTATCACACGTTCACGGATTAAAAAATGGGGAAAATTTTAAATAAAAAATTTGACGTTTAATTTTTCGTTCATTTCCGGTTTTTCCGGATTTTATTTATTTATTTTTTTTCTCGCTCGCACTACCTATCGTTTGTTTGTTTGTTTATGTTTGAATTTGTGGGTAGGAGAGGGGACGGGGGAGATGGGGGAAGAGGGAGGTACGGGGAGAGGAGGAAAAAGACCCCGAAGTAAATCTAACGAAACGTTTTTTATTATCATTGATTAGTTTACCTGTTTAGTCTGATTACTTTACCTTTTTTTTGAAAATGTGACGGGGTTAATTAAGAAAAAACGTTTTAATTTTAATTTGTTTTCACTTAGCAAAAAAAAAAAAAATTAACGACAAACGAGAGTAATAAAAAGGTAATAAAAAAAAAAAAAAAGAAAAAAAAAATGTTTTGCAAGCTTATGTTTAAAAATATCGATTTTTTTTTGTTTGTTTGTTTGTTTATTTGTCTGTTTATTCGTTTGTTCAATGTTTAGTAAAATTGAGAAGAAAAAAAAAATTTTTCCAAATCTTTAATAATTTTCCAGTCAATTAATAAAAAAAATTATTTATATATTAAATGAGTAATAAAAATTACTTTGATTCGCGAATTTTTTTTTTTTTTTTGCTCTCCAAAGTATGAAACGCCATGAATAAAAAATTTTCATGGAAAAAATGACGATGATGATGATGATGATGATAAAAGTCACGAACGACTTAAAGTAATAAATCAATAAATAAAAAAAAATTTTTCAAGGTCGAAAATGTTTTTTTCCAGCACGTAATTTTTCTTTTTTTTTGTTATCGTATGATTCCAGAGTGACAAACTTGGAAAAATGATAGTTAAAGATCCAGGAGGAGGAGGAGGTGGTGGTGACGGCGGCGGACGTAAAGGAAATTTAAAATTTTCATTAAAAAATAATTCGGATGAAAATTTAAATTTAAAATGCGCGGGAAAAACTGGAGAAACCATTTTCGAAACCGCTTATTACGAATGTGGTAAGTTTTGAAAAAAAATTTTTTTTTGTTTCAAACTCTTTCTCTGGTAGAGGAAAATTTTTCTGTTTAATGGCGATTAAAAATTTTTTTGAAAATGTTTTGTCGTTTTGGATAAAATCGTTTTCGTTTCGATTATTTTAGGGAAAAGGAGTGGGGCAGGGGAAGAGGGGGAAGAAAATGAAAAAAAAAATATTTCGTGAACGAAAGCAAAAATTTATTTTAAATTTTCGTTTTCGAAAATTCGAGAGAAAAAAAAAATGTTTTTTTTTTTTATTTTCAATCGATTCCACCTGGAAAAGTTGCGTGACTACAAAAAAAAAAAAAAGAAAATTTTATTTTTATTTTTATACGATTCAAATCTAATTCGTACGGAAAAGTAAAAAAAAAAAAATCGTGTGCAAAATTTTCCCTTTTTATTTTTATTTTTTTTTTCCATTAAATAAAGTTTCCAATTTATTATATAACTTTACATTTATTATTATTTTTCCGGGGGGAAGGGAGGGAAAGGAGCGGAGTTGATTTCCATTAAAGTTTCGATTGTGAAAAACGGGAAATTTCAAACTGACCCAAACTTTTCTTTCACTTCCTCTTTCTCTCTTTCACTTTTTTTTTTTTTTTTATTAATAATTTAAAATTTTTAATTTTTTTAAGTTGGCAACAACCAATTTGGTATTTTAAATTGATTAAAGTTTCGCGCGTAAAAAAAAAAAAAAAAAAAAAAAAAATCGCGGTGTATTTCCGTCGGTCGAAACGACACGAAACGGTTTCGGCTCACCGAAATGAAAAATTTTCATTCGTTATTATTATTATTATTATCATTATCATTATCATCATTTTTTTTTTTCGATAGAAATAACGGCCAAAAAAATCGCCCCCCTTAAATTCCCATATACCGCCTACGTTCAAATCGACGATACATCATTACATTTGGAACATCCAGATCGATCCGTGAGTAAACGATAAAAAAAAAAAAAAAAAAAACTGGAAAAAAAATTTAATATATTAAATGTAACTAAATAAAAAAAAAAAAAAAATTTTTTTTTTTTTTTTCTCCAGCACGTAGAAAATGTGACGTTTTTCCAACCGCCGACAAAGTTAAAAAAAAAGATGATTTCGAGAGAGTCGTCAGCGGCGATATCGATGCCATTGAAAAATTTACAAGATGGCGACGGCGACGTGGTTTTACCTCTCGACGTAAAATATCCAGAATATTCGACGATATCAAAAAAATCCGTCGCGGGTACGAGAGTCGTGGAACCATCGTGCAAAAATGCTTTCTCCAGCGGTGACGCGAGAAAAAAATTATCCAAATCAAATGTGAAATTTCATTTGTTGACGAACGGTCCTTTCAACGTGACCGAAACCGGAGGAATTGTTTACGTTTCGAACAGAAATTTATTAAAAGAATTTGTTTATAGGTACTGGAATGATTTGCTTGCTGGAGAATGTTTGTTTTATCCAGTTCAAACGATTATTACCATTGTGTATTTTTTTTTTCCAGGATAAAAGTAACGGGAACGTTTCCGAACGGTTACAGATTTTTTTCAACTTTACAAATCAACGTCACGGATACGACGAAATCGATTTTTTTAACCGGAAAAGACGTTTGTCCAAAATTAACGGATGAAAATTCAAGGTCGTCGTGTTCGGAAAAACGTAGCAAAACCGAGTGCGAAAAAACGTGCGGAGTCTCTTCTGGAGTCTTGAAAAAGTAATTAAAAACAAAATTTTTTTTGGATGAAATTTCGGATAAAATTACTGGAATGAAAACAAAAAAAAAAAATTTTTTGTTTTGTTTGTTTGTCGAATCATCGAACAGGTTTGAAAACGACGTGACGATGACTCACGGTTGTTTTTGGAGAGAAAATGACGAACCGGAAAAATTATCCAGATATTATCAAACGTGTTCTCCGGATTTGAACGCTTGTCCAGATCGATTTTGCGATCCGTTGGAAATTATTTTTCCAAAATCATGTCCGCAAGATTGCACGGGTAAAAAAAAATTATTTAAAATTCTTGATCGACGCGTACCTGTTTTTTTTTTTTTGGAAAATGAATGACGTCATAAAATTGTTTTTTTCTTTTTTTTTTTGGTCGTCAAAAGAATACGTTTTCGGTTCGGCGAACAAAGAAAATCATTTGCCGGGTATAGCGAGCGCGACCGGCGTTTGTTCCTGCGACAACCGGCAAAAATGTTTGTGCGTTTTAGAAACGTCATCGAAACAAAACGAAAAACGTAAAACGAAACAAGATTTTAATGGAACGATAGAATTCCGACAGAGGGAAGCCATAAGCGCAGTGAAAGGTTTTTAAATTAAATTTAAATGTGTGTCGGATGATTAATAATAATAATAATGATAATTATTATTATTAATTTTAGCATCTTACACGGATTACTGCGGTACCGTTTGTCTCTTATCCATTTCCGGTGGCGGTATGATACTAGTCGGTGGGATTTTTATCATTTTACTCATGACGTATCGGCGGTGGGTATAATTTAAAAAAGATTTTTTTTTTTTGTTATCTGTTATCGTGGAAAAAAAGTCGTTTTTTTTAAAAAAAAAAATGCAGGAAAATTAAAAAGAGATATTCGAATCAACGTCCGCTCAAAGAAGACATGGTAAATATAAATTACGAAGAATACGTTGAAAGACCCGGAGAAGTCGTGATAAGGCCGTCCGTGCAAAACGGGACGATAAAAGAAATATCCGAGCACTACGATAAGAAGTGGGAATTTCCCAGGTACAGATTAACGATCGAAGAGATTTTAGGAGAGGGAGAATTTGGAAAAGTTCTCAAAGCCAAAGCGGATGGAATCGGTGGAAATCCGGGTAATGCGCGAGAAAAACGGTTTTTTTTTTTTCGGAAAAACTTTTCTTGCTAATGTTTGTAACTTGGAAATTTCGTCACGCAGGATCGACGACCGTCGCCGTGAAAACGTTAAAAGACGACGCGAAAGAAACGGAATTATCCGATTTGATGTCCGAGTATCAATTGTTGAAAGATATTGATCATCCGAACGTTATACACTTATTGGGAGCCTGTACGAAATCCGATGGACCCGTTTATATAATAATAGAATATGCTAAACACGGATCGTTGAGGTACCTCTCACTCTCACTCTCTACCCCTCTTTCTCCATCTCTTTCTCCAGCAAAAGGTTTTCGATTTAATTCTATTTATTTTTAAATAGGAATTATCTTCGTAAGCACAGAGCCGCCATCATCGAACAACTCAATCATAATGATAACAACATGGGAGTAGAAAAAAATGTCACACCGAAAGATTTGTTAACATTTGCATGGCAAATTGCGAAAGGAATGAATTATTTAACGGATATGAAGGTGATTCTAACTCTTTTTTTTTTTTCAAATAACTGTCGTAAAATAATAATAATAATGAAATTTCTCCAGTTTGACTGGAAGAAAAAGAACGCGTGGATTCATCCCGGTTTTTTTTTTTTTTTTCATTTCCAGCTCGTGCATAGAGATTTAGCAGCGAGAAATATTCTCGTGGCAGAAGGTTTGATATGTAAAATCTCAGATTTCGGACTCACGAGAGACATTTACGAAGATGACACGTATTTGAAAAGGAGTAAAGGAAGAGGTGAGTAGTACGAATACGTTTATTACGGGAGAGGGAGGGGTAGGGAATGGTGGAGGGGGGTAATAAATAATTTTTTTATTTTTATCAATTAACGGAAAAGTGCCGGTTAAATGGATGGCATTGGAATCCCTCGCGGATCACATTTACACGACCAAATCCGACGTTTGGAGTTACGGCGTCGTCCTATGGGAATTGGTGACGACGGGAGCGACGCCGTATCCGGGAATCGCAGCACAAAATTTATTTCACCTTTTGAAAAGGGGTTACAGAATGGAAAAACCTCCGAATTGTTCCAACGAACTCTATCAGATATTGAAATCGTGCTGGCAAGAAAATCCCTCCCATCGTCCCACGTTTAATTGTTTGGTCGCGAAATTCGAAGAAATGTTGGGTGAGGGTAAAGAGTATTTGGATCTCAATCCGAGAACGGTGGAAAACAAAACGTATTTTAGTGATTTTTGGAACGATTTCGACAACGAAAACGACGTGTTCTTGCCGTCGAACGAAAGACTGGTGCAAAATGAAAAAAATGGAAGCGGATTATTTAAAGTTAAATTCGAAATGTTTGAAAAATCAAAATGCGACGTTTGCGATTCGTCTCCGAACGTCGAATGTTCGTGCGACGACGCGACCGCGAACGTTATGAACGTTAAATACGAAAATGAAAATCTAATTCAAGTGCCACGTTACGAAAATGACGGAATGGAAGATAACGGTTACGTTCAACCGACCGGAGAACCCAAAATGTTTACTAACGACACGACCGTTGAAAATCCTTCCTTCCACGACGTGTAAATAACAACGCGATCACCCCGCCCCCCGCCCTCCCCCCCATTCTTCCTTTTCATCATTTCTTTCTTTCTTTCTTTCATTCTTTCCCCCCCCCCCCACGATCATATTATTGCTTTAATACATATCTATTTCATTATTATAAAAACAGAAAATTAATTAATTATAATTAATAATAATAATAATAATGATCCGTAATGTTTTTTGTAAAAAATTTTTTTTCTTAATGGTGGAATACCACGTGACATGGATTTAAAAAAAAAAAATTAAACAAATAATAATTTTTTTTTTTTTTTTATTTATATTTATTTCAAATAATAAGTAATCAAAGAAAGTGTTTCAACATTTTCTTTCTTCGTCATAAAAAACAATTAAAAATAAACATTTAAAAATTATTATTATTATTATTATCATCATCATCATTAAATTATTGTTTTGTGTTTGTTTTGTTTTGGCAGGAAACGAACGAACGAACAAACGACGATTTTTAATTTTTTATTTTACACTTAAATTTTTTATCATTATTATCATTAACGTCGATTTAATTTAACTAATTATTAGTAAATTGTGTGTGTCTGTGTCTGTGTGGGTGTGGGGGTGTGCACGTTTGTTCGAGTTTTCGATAACGGAATCGAACGATTTCCGTATCGTTTAAACTTATCGATTTTGATCAACAATCGAAATGGACGAGGAAAAAAAAAATTTTACATACATATATATACATATAAATTCCGTAACGACATTTTATAAATTTACAAAAAATCGACAATCGACAATCGACTAATCGATAATCGATAACCGATCGATAACGTTAAAAAATAGTAATAATAAATAAAAAAAAAAAAATTTTATGCGTTCCCGTTTATAAAACCCTCGCCCTCCCTCCCTCTCTCCCTACACTTTTGAACGATTTAAATTTTTGTGTGTGGGGGGAGGGTAAATAGGCGGGGGAAGGGGAGGGAAGGGAAGGGGTAGGAGGAGGGGGGAGGGGAACGGTGGCAGTTCGTACATTTACTACGTCAATTAAAAAATTAATTTTTTTTTTATACGCACGACTAGATTTGACACATTTGATATAGAAAAAAACGTTCATAGGTCTAACGAATCCAAATTGACGGGTTCGTTATCAACAAACCATTTATCATCATTTTTCATAAGACTTTCCATTTCTTCTTCTCCACGCCCTCCTCCACCTCTTCCCCCTCCCCCTCCGCTCCCTGATAAATTCAAATTGTCCAATCGTCCGGGAAATTCGCTAAATATTTCTTCTGCTAATTCTAAAACATTTTTTTTCTCTTTCGTTTTATTATTATTACCAACACCGCAATCGAAAATTATTTTCGTCGTCATTCGTTCCAAATTCGAAGGACTCGAAGAAGAGGAAGAAGAAGAGGAAGAAGAAGAAGAGGAAGAAGAAGAAGAGGAAGAAGAAGAAGAGGAAGAAGAGGAAGAAGGGGAAGAAGGTTTCAATGGAGTTTCGTTCGGTTCGCGATTCTTTTCCCTTTTCGTTTTCGTCTCCGCTTTCGTTTCCGTTTTCGACACCATTTTATCATATTCGGATTTATTTTTCGTTAGAGAAATTTGAGCTTCCGCAATTGAATTTTTCAACTTCGAACCGAATAATTTATAAAAGTTTTTCCCTCCCTTCACGTTCGGATTGAAACAGGAGAGAGAGGATTTGTCCTTGTGTATGAATTTCAACATTTTGTTTATGTCTTTCGGAAACGAATACCTTTTCAAATTGACGGCCTCTTTCGGAATGTCCTCCTCCGAACAATACGGAAGCATCAAAACGAAAAAATTAATTTTTTTCACTTTGGACGCGAGTTTTTCACGTAGCAAACGCAATAGGAGAACGTCCGTGTTTTGATAAACGGAATCCGTCACTCTGAGAGTTTTATGATATGGCGAAGCAACGACCATGACGTAATTCGCGGTTTGGAATGCTTCGTTGCACCACCTAAAAGGATCCTGGAAATTGAAACAAACACACATTTTAACAAAATGTTGGCAAATTAATAATGATAATGAACGCCGTTGAATTAATTCAACGACTTACCCTTGATTTAGAATGAAATATGTGTAATTCATCAACCAATGGTTCTATGTTGCAATATGTTTTTAAATATTCGACCAATGCCAAAACGACATTGGCATGAGAACTAATGGACGGCGTGAATATAACTAGTAATTTGGGAACAGGGTACATCCATTTTTTCGCTTTGATTATGAAATAATTTCTCAGGAGAAACAAAAGGTAAATGAAAGCGGGAATAAGTAGTGTGATTGAGACAATTCCAATGAGTAAAGGTTGCGAACTTTCACCCCCTGAAAAAAAAAAAAAAATTTGATTTCTCTCCTGTGATCATTTGCCAATAATAATAATAACACAAAGGAAAAATTAATTTACCCAATTGAAAAGTATTTGTTTTAGTCATTGTACATTCACAGCCGTTACACCACATGGGTTGAACACCGAATTGTATATTTCCATACCATTTTTCATAAATGTATTTACAGTCTTTTGTACTGTAACAGGTTATGTTGGTAGAAAATATAATTTCCATGAAACCTGATTTGTTTGAAAACACAGACACATTGTATGCGTTCACTGAAAATCGTTTCGGGAGAGGTTGCCAATGCAGGGAAAACGTTGTGGGTCCGAATAGACTTTTATTGACTTCAGTGTACATGAAAATTTCCCAATGTGACAAATCTGTTGTTTCATCAATGTTTTTAGCCAGCGGGACTTTGAGTAGAAATTTCTTATACACTACATCATCATTTTTCCTAGCTTCATATTCGAAACTAAACGTTTTACCCTCGTATGTTTCGTTTGACCAAAGGCAATCGTAAAAAATATTTTTAACAGTTGAATTTTCAGACAGTTGAAATTCCCTGCATGTGTTTTTCATGTCGTTACCCTCTTGTTTGAATCTGTATTTCATTTTTTTCCATTTGATGTCCGGGAAGGATAGATTGAATCCGGTTTGTTTGTATGATAAAAAATTATTCAAGTAAGATTCAATGTAAACCGTTCCAAGGTTTTCATCTTGAGCATTCGATTCTTGTGTAAATGGTAAATCTCTGCAATCTGTCGAATTGAGTTTGTAATATTTCATTTGACATTCGTCGCAATTACCCGTACCACAAGACATATCCATGGCCTCGCACAAATGGCTTTGATGAGAAATCATATGTATAAAATTTGCTTTTAAACAAATTGAGACAAACAATAACAATGTTTTCCACTCGAATATTGCGGAATAAAACATTGTGAATACCTCCCTTCCTGTCTTTCTCTCTCTCTCTCTCTGTCTTTCTTTCTCAACAACGCGTGTAAATAATTTCTTCAAAGAACTACATTTTTCACTATTTTTCTATTTTTTTTCAATTTTTTTTTTTTTTAAGGAAATGATCAAGCGATTTTTAAATATAGTTTCTTCCTTCATTTTTTTTTTTTTTTTTATTAACAAAATGAAAACACGTATTACTTTACACTTAACTTATTATGTAACATACTCGTTTTACGACAATTTAAAATGACAACATATTTAAATTCTATAAATAATAATCCACGACGATACATTTTTATTTTAAGTATTCAATGAGGCTTATAAGCTTATGGCATCCTTGACATCTTATAATTTATCCGCTAGGAGCGGTAGTATCTCTGCAAATCGTTCTGGTGCCACAGATATTCCCGCCATTTTGAATTGGGGAAAAAAACAAAAACAAAACAAAATCATCCGGTCGGGATTTAAATGAAAAACATTCGGTATTTAAATAAATAAATAAATATATAAATATATATTTAAAAAAGAAATTTAAAATACATCGTTTATTAAACATCGATTTAAAACAATCAAATAACAAATAATAATAATAATAATACTAAATAATAATAAAAACGGGTATCGACGTGTCGTAAGAAAAAGATTAATAAATATACTAATAGATGGCACCACACTTGAGTAACGTCTGCTTAACTTTTACACGAGTTGACTCGTACCTGAACAACAATTTTAATATAAAAAAAAAGAAAGAAACCTGGATTTCCAGCGGATATACTTCATCGATTCACCTTTACTTTTATAAGACCTATTCGAGTTATACACGGTCGATTAAAACTTTTTTCTTTTTTTTTTTTTTTATTCTCCAGTTGTGTTACAACAATCGAATAGTGAAAACGAACGCGCGTTTATAGAGAGAAAAAAAAAAACCGTTTTTTTTTTTTTGTTTTAATATTTTTAAATTTTTTTAAATTTTTTTTTTTTTTTGCGGGAAAATTTTAAAAAAAACGGAATTTTGTGGTGATAAATTAAAAGTTTTTGTCAATCGTGAATTGTGAATTGTTCTCGAGTGATATTTTAAATATTTAAAAATTAACGTTTTAACAAAAAAAAAAAAAAAAAAAAAAAACTCGGAGAGGGATATAATAATAATTAAATATTCGCGTCACGTTTACATAACCGAAAAATTGTTTAAATTATTTGTTTAAACCCCCTCGGCCGCCCCTCTCCCCTCTCTCCTCTCCGTGTAAAGTGAAAAAATCGATAATTTGAATATCGATCGTATTATGTGAAATTCAATATGGCCAACGTTTAATTTTTGTATTAATTTAATACAATTCGATCGATTTATTCGGGAGTGTAATTTTTTTTTATTATTATTATTATTTAATTAAACTAAAGTTTAACGCTGACCCCCCCCCCCGCGCCCCCCAAGAAAATATAAAAGTTTTTGTGTTATAAGTAAGTGAGTGAGTGAGTTAGTGCGCGTGTGATACTTTTTTTTTCAACTCAAAATCTCATTAATTTGGATTAATATCGAAAGGATTAACATTTACTTTACACAAGCAGAAGAGAAATAATAATAATGATGATGATGATGATGATGATGATAAGGATACTATCGGTAAGTTTTTTTTTTTTTTATATATATATTTCTACCAAAAGAAAGAAAGGAAAAAAAGGAAAAAACGACTTTTTTTTTCTTTAAAATATTGCTTAAATAACAATTAACATTTATTATTATTATTATTATTATTTATCACGCTTTCGAGTTTTTAATAATAATAATATTAATAATGATAATGATAATTAATAACGTTTAATCCTTAATCGAAAAAAAAAAAAAAAAAAAAAAAAATTGAAAAGAAAAAAAAAATTTTTTTTTCTCGTTTATATTTTATCGTTTTATTATTTTAAAATATCGAAAGTTATGATGTAATTTTTTTGTGCGTTTTTTAAACATTCAACAAACGAACAAACAAAGAACAAACAAACAAACAACAACAAGTACAAAATGTTTTTAAATAGAAAATCGTTTGTATATAAGAGTAAAAGTATTTAATACAAAATATTGTTGTTAAAAAAAATGAAATTTAACTTGCCTTGCCGATGGGAGTTTTTTTTTTTTTTTTTTTTTTTTTTTATAAAAATTTCTTCCCGTTTTTTTTTTTTTAATTTAAAACAGATAAACGTTTTGTACTTGTTGTTGTTTGTTGTAGTTGTGGTTGTGGTTGTTGTCCTTAACCCCGAGGTAATGTTTACTTATATATATTCTTTTCTTTTAATTTTTAAAATAAGTAATTAAAGTTTTCCAATTTTTTTTTTTTTTTGCTTGGGTTTTCGGTTTCGGTTTATCGCGCCGTCGGTTGTTTGTCGGTTGTTTTGGTGAAAATTTTGTTTGTTGATAATTTTTTTTAAAATTTCGAAAAACGAATTGTTTTATTATTTTCACGATCTGATTATTTTTGAAAAAAAAAAAAAATTCATCATATCAATCACGAAAATATAATGAATGAATGAATTTTGAACAAACGGAGTGTTTGTTTTTTAACAAACAACAACAAACAACAATAGGGATTTAAAAATGTTTTTTTTTTTTTCAAAACGGTTTTTTATTTTTTTAAATTTCGCATCGTTTTTTTGTATTATTGCAATCAATAAATAAATGATAACACTTTCGCGTGTTTTTTTTTGTTTGTTCGTTTGTTTGTTCGGAAAACATAATGATTTACGTTTGTTTTGTTTTTGGTTGTTCTGTTGTTTTCATTATTATTTATACGAGAGAATTTTATGACATCATCAATAATTAAAGATCTTTAAAAAAAGTATTGAAAAAAATTTTCTCATAAACGCGATGTGGATTCGACATATTTAACCGGATTTATAATAATAAAACAAAAAATTACAATCATTACTCCTCCCAAACAACCAACAACCGACAAACAAAAAAAAATCTTTAACCTTCTTTTTTTTTGTTTCTTTTGTGTTCCAAAAAAAAAAAAAATTAAAAATTGAATTCGAATGTTGCGTGCGTGGTCGTCCTCGTCGTCTTAGCTTAGCGGAAACTTTGTTGGATTGTCGGTTGTTGTTTGTCGCCAAGACATTAATAAATATAATCGCGATACGAATAATAATAATAATAATGTTTTATTTATATAAATATATATATATATATATATATATATATATTGAATGATTTATAATTATTAATTATTTAAATAATTTTTTTTAAAAAACAAAATAAATAAAAACATGTTTGCGTGTGTGTGTTTGTGTACATGTTTGTTTGCGTTTGTTTGTCGCTCTGTTGTTGGTTGTTTTTTTTTTTTTTTAAAACCGTGTACCGATTTTTATATTATTCATGACATTGCCACCCATTTAAATATTTTGTCATAGCATTTATCATTCGTCCAAACAAAACAAAATGTCGTCGGGAAAATTTTTGTTTTTTTTTTTTTTTTTTTACCTTATCACGTTTTTGTTGTTGTGGTTGTTTTATTCGTTTGCGTGTTTGTTGTTTATAATCGGTTCGTGTGGTGTTTTAAAAGGGATACGATTTATAGAATGGAACCTTTTTATTATTATTATTATTATTATTAAAATACGATCATTGCAAAAATTGTTTCAAAAAAAATAATTTATTATATAGACGTGGAAGCAAACAAACATAAAACACTCCCACTCGAAACAAAAAAAAAAAAAAAAAAACAAAAACCCCCGGTTGTTGTTGTTGTTGTTATTATTTAAAAAAAAAAAAAAAAAATTCAGGAATGAATGAAAATTATTTTCAACGCCTTTGCCAAAGGGTTTTTACCCCCGGCTTTTTTTTTTTTATATCTTTCAATAATTTCGGCCATCTTTACACAAATTACATAAGCTAAACATTTATTTAGAAAAAAAGAAAAAAAACTCATTTCCGCATGTACGATAATTACTCGGTAACTATTATCATCATCATCAAAAAAATTAAAGTTCGAAACCAAAAATTAATTTTCGATGGGAAAAATTTGGGGGGGCGCGGGGTAGGGGGCAAATGGGAAGAGGGAGAGGGGAGGCAAAGGATTTCATTACGCGTATGGTAATGAATACCGTCGAGAGTATTATTATCATTGATATTATTATTATTGTTATTATTATGAGAAACGAAACACGATTTTATTAATAATAACAAAGGAGCAGACGAAAAAAAAAAAAAAAAGCAGACGATTTCTTTTTTTGTTTCGTTTGTCGTACTTGAAGTGATCGTTAAATAAAAAAAAATAAAAAAAAATGGCGCGTTCGATTAACGTTAATAAAAAAATATGGAGGATGAAAATAATAATAATAATTTTTCATTGAATTTTATACGCTGGAATTTTTTTTTACACTTTAATGCCGGTTTTATATATACATTTACGAAATGATAATAATAATAATAATGATATTAATAATAATAAACCGGCGGCTTATGTCAATTAAACAACAAGAAATTTCCAAAACTTGTTTTTTTTCAACTGAATTTAAGCTGGAGAAAAAGAAAAAAAATTTTTTTTTTTTATATTTGTCAACGTTTTATTACGTAAGACAATTTTTTTTTTTTTATACCATTTCCGCCATTTTGTATTTTATATACTTTATCGTTATTATTATTATTATTAAATGTAAATTACGTATTCTTCGAAAAATGTCAACATTTTTAATTCCAGAATCTTCTTCTTCTGTAATATAAATATATATATATATATGCATTATTTAATCCCTGGAAATTTTTTTTTTTTGTTTAATTTTCTACCGCGCGTGTTTGTTTATTTGTTTGTTTGTTGCCGTCGACAAATTGTTTGTCGTGTTTCTATTTTTTTTGGAATTCCATCGCTAATTAAATTTCTAATAATTAATTTCTTAGAATTGTTTTTTATTAAAATTTT